AATTAAACTGGATCGCTCGAATTAGCTTTTAATCCTGGACGCGGGTTCGGCGTGGGCTGAACGTTTAAAAAAATCGAAATGAAATTTTTTAGAAACGAGAGCGTCTATCTCTTTCCCTCCCTTTCTCGTTTCCCTAAATCTACCCTTTCTAAATGTTCTTCGAACGAGTTTTAACAGTTTCTTTCATTCGTTCGTTTGTTTTTTTTTTTTTTTTTTTATCAATGGTACATCGAAAAACGTGTATCGCGAAGTCCACTTAAGCGCGGAAAGCTCTTCTAAAATAATAAACGCGGGATTTATTTATTTATTTATCTATCCGACCGACGAAAGCAGCGTTAATTTTCATAAAATCGTATTTCGGACGATAAATTCTCATCGATACGGTGGGCGGGAAGCGCGCCATATCGCGAATGGAATAGCCGATGCGTGGAAAAATAGCGTAGCACCGTAAATATTTAAAAATCGAACGGTATTTGTCAACCGGGAGGAGAGGTCTCGCGTCAGTTTCACGAAAATTCGGTCGACTCTCTTTTTCTATCTCTTTGAAGGATAGAATTGTCGATGGAAGGATATATTTCCGATTATATCCGAGCAACTCGAGTAGTTTTTCTTTCTTCTCCTTCTCAAGTTTCGAAGGATCGACGTCACCGTCGAGATCTTCTCGTTCCTCCTCTGTTCCATTCACACGGATGCCGATACTGGGACATCGGATCGACGCGAATCGAAAAATAAATCGTGCGCGCGCGCGCGCGCCATCCGTGTAAATCCGTGCTTGCTCTCCCTTGAACGAATCGAACGTCGGGCCTGATGTAAATGAATTCCGCTCTAATTGCAATTATGTGCCCGGCTAGTGCGCATAAATGTTGGCCGTTACGCGATATATGACACGTCACTCACGACCAACCCGTGCGTCATTGCGAATTTATGAAATAGCGATCGGTGCTGTGTCCCTCCCCCCTCCCCCCTTATCCACGCTAATCTTGCACAGGTCGTGTCATAATTGCAATCAATAGTTGGCGTCATAATATAATTCGACGACGACGATCCGGTCGAGACGACGGCCCATTACGTATTTACGGCTTCTCGTCCCGACGTTTCTGGATATATATCAGAAGAAAAAGAGGAAATCTTCGAGGCGAAAGATCGGGAGCAGCGGACGGGATCATTATACGATTTAGCCAACGCGGTTGAACAATCATCACGGTCGTTACTTTACGTTGAAATAATTTTAAAAATCGCACGCGAAACATTCTATTCGTTCCACGGTGGAAAGAGGATGTAGTCGTTTGTAATCGACGATCGATGATAAATGACGACGTAACTCTCTAGGTTCTAGGTTAAATGCCATTCTCCAAGGATAAATCATTAAAACCGTTGGTGCAGCTGCAATCAGCAAGCATACCGTGTAAATACGTGACGAAGGATCCCCAACCCTGCCCCCCTCCTCCGCGAATCATCGGTCGCGTGCCCTTCCCCGAAATCGCATCATCCTCCTAACCGATTCGCCGTTTAGCTAGACCGATTTATTTATCGGCCGGCCGTGATTAGACTTTCGCTTTACCACGGATACGCGATCTCGTCGAACATTGACCGATCCGACCGATTTGTTAACCGATGGCGACGTCGGAAACGCCGCCAGGGGGAGAGTGGAGGGGTGGGGAGAAACGCTCGCTTCGCTTTCTTCTTTTCGTTCGCGTTAATGCGAAAATAACTTCCACCTGTTGCTACAAAAGAAAAATACGTTGCGTCGATCGATAACGATGCTTGGCTCGTGCGCGCCAAGAAATTTCCCTCCGCGCGGAGGGAATATATGCGAGAATTCGTAAAGCGAGACGAAGGGCGATGCGATACGATTTCGAAGCGATGAGAAAAATTTAGCGACGAAAAAAAAAAAAAATCTACGACCTCCGTTGATGCGCGTTGTATTCATATATTCAACTTCGTTGAATCTTCGCTCTCTCGTTAAAATTCAAGACGGCTCGAGTCGACCGATACCAACCCCTTCCCCCTTCCATCCCTCCCCGTAACGCCGCGCAAAAGTTCGCCTCGTTCGTTTAAGAAAAAAAAAAGAGAAAAAGAAAAAGTTGGATGAATAATACCGCGACGGTGGCATTAACTCCTATCGGGCAGTGTCCTCGCGAGAGGACGTTCGACGTCATTAGTTTTCCTTAATTAGCGCGGCCACCCCCTG